CCGCAACTGTCCACTACACCTCACCTGCTCCTACACCTCACCTGTCCCCTACACCGCAACTGTCCCCTTCACCTCACCATTCCACTACACCTCACCCGTCCCCTTCACCTCACCTCACCTGTCCACTACACCTTACCTGTCTACTTCACCTCACCTGTCCCTACACCCCACCTGTCCACTACACCTCACCTGTCATTTCACCTCACCTGTCTCACTACTCTCACTGCCCCTACACCGCAACTGTCCACTACACCTCACCTGTCCCTTCACCTCACCTGTCCCCTACACCGCAACTGTCCACTACACCTCACCTGTCCCCTTCACCTCACCTGTCCCCTTCACCTCACCTGTCCACTACACCTCACCTTTCTACTACACCTCGCCGGTCCACTACACCTCACCTGCTCCCTTCACCTCACCCGCTCCTACACCTCACCTGTCCCCTTCACCTCACCCGTCCCCTACACCTCACCTGTCCCCTACTACACCTCACCTGTCCCCTACTACACCTCACCTGTCCCCTACACCTCACCATTCCACTACACCTCACCCGTCCCCTACACCGCAACTGTCCACTACACCTCACCTGTTCCCTACTACACCTCACCCCTTCACCTCGCCTGTCCACTACACCTCACCTTCTCCTACACCCCACCTGTCCACTACACCTCACCTGTCCCCTAAACCGCAACTGTCCACTACACCTCACCTGCTCCTACACCTCACCTGTCCACTACACCTCACCTGCTCCTACACCTCACCTGTCCACTACACCTCACCTGCTCCTACACCTCACCTGTCCACTACACCTCACCTGCTCCTACACCCCACCTGTCCCTTACACCTCACCTGTCCACTACACCTGTCCACTACACCTCACCTGCTCCTACACCTCACCTGTCCCCTTCACCTCATCGGCTCCTACACCTCACCTGTCCACTACACCTCATCTGCTCTTAAACCCCACCTGCCCACTACACCTCACCTGTCCACTTCACCTCACCTGCTCCTTCACCTCACCTGTCCACTACACCTCACCTGTCCCCTAAACCGCAACTGTCCACTACACCTCACCTGTCCCCTTCACCTCACCTGTCCACTACACCGCACCTATCCACTACACCGCACCTGTCTACTTCACCTCACCTGCTCCTACACCTCACCTGTCCCCTTCACCTCATCTGCTCCTACACCTCACTTGTCCACTACACCTCATCTGCTCCTAAACCCCACCTGTCCACCACACCTCACCTGTCCCCATCACCTCACCTGTCTACTTCACCTCACCTGCTCCTAAACCCCACCTGTCCACTACACCTCACCTGCTCCTTCACCTCACCTGTCCACTACACCTCACCTGTCCACTACACCTCACCTGTCCACTACACCACCCCGGCAAGAAGAGCAAACATAGAGAGAGGGAACTGTGAAGAGTCCACTGAAGCAACCATCTTGGATCTAAAAGTTGATCCAGCAGCTTCCTGTCTGTGCCTCACCTGTTACCTATAATCATGTCTCACCTGTTACCTATAATCATGTCTCACCTGTTACCTATAATCATGTCTCACAGGTGTGACAGTAGAGTTTCAATAGCTCTAATTGACTCTCTCTGACTGGGAGAACAGGAAGCAGTGTCGGCACGGAGCTGCACAGCAGGTTTACCTGTGCAGTTGACATCACTCAGGTGACTTTGAGCTACACAATGTTCCACCAATCACATCGCACCATGGGCTATTTTATTGACACAAGTTTGTGTGTTTGTTGTCAGTTCACTGTTTTACAGCAGATACAAACAAAGTATTTTCCTGTCTTACTCCCAGCATGCTTTGTGTCTCAGGTGAACACAGCTGGACAGGTAAACTCTCTGCAGTAACCTTTTGAGTGTCTAAACGGGAGCTGATCTCAGGGAGTGAATCCTGACTGTCCAGTCAACACATCCCCATGACGAATGACAACAGTCCAGAGGAATGTCATCACCATGGCAACAGAAAACAAACACAAAGAAGAAACATTCACAGAGGAGATAGGAGAAACTCAGGTGAGTAAACAGGTGAGAGACAGAGTGAACAGGTGAGTGAACAGGTAAGTGACTGAGTGAACAGGTGAGTGACAGAGTGAACAGGTAAGTGACTGAGTGAACAGGTGAGTGACAGAGTGAACAGGTGAGAGAACAGGTAAGTGACTGAGTGAACAGGTGAGTGACAGAGTGAACAGGTGAGTGAACAGGTAAGTGACTGAGTGAACAGGTGAGTGACAGAGTGAACAGGTGAGTGACAGAGTGAACAGGTGAGTGAACAGGTAAGTGACTGAGTGAACAGGTAAGTGACTGAGTGAACAGGTGAGTGACAGAGTGAACAGGTGACAGTCAGTGTGAACAGGTGAGTGACAGAGTGAACAGGTAAGTGACTGAGTGAACAGGTGAGAGACAGAGTGAACAGGTGAGTGACTGAGTGAACAGCTGAGTGACTGAGTGAACAGCTGAGTGACTGAGTGAACAGGTGAGTGACTGAGTGAACAGGTGAGAGACAGAGTGAACAGGTGAGAGACAGAGTGAACAGGTGAGAGACAGAGTGAACAGGTGAGAGACAGAGTGAACAGGTGAGTGAACAGGTGAGTGACAGAGTGAACAGGTGAGTGAACAGGTAAGTGACTGAGTGAACAGGTGAGTGAACAGGTGAGTGAACAGGTGAGTGACAGAGTGAGTCATCACTCAGGTGACTTTGAGCTACACAATGTTCCACCAATCACATCGCACCATGGGCTATTTTATTGACACAAGTTTGTGTGTTTGTTGTCAGTTCACTGTTTTACAGCAGATACAAACAAAGTATTTTCCTGTCTTACTCCCAGCATGCTTTGTGTCTCAGGTGAACACAGCTGGACAGGTAAACTCTCTGCAGTACGCTTTTGAGTGTCTAAACGGGAGCTGTATCTAGGGAGTGAATCCTGACTGTCAGTCAACACATCCCCATGGACGAATGACAACAGTCCAGAGAATGTCATCACCATGGCAACAGAAAACAAACACAAAGAAGAAACTTCACAGAGGAGATAGGAGAAACTCAGGTGAGTAAACAGGTGAGAGACAGAGTGAACAGGTGAGTGAACAGGTAAGTGACTGAGTGAACAGGTGAGTGACAGAGTGAACAGGTAAGTGACTGAGTGAACAGGTGAGTGACAGAGTGAACAGGTGAGAGAACAGGTAAGTGACTGAGTGAACAGGTAAGTGACTGAGTGAACAGGTAAGTGACTGAGTGAACAGGTGAGTGACAGAGTGAACAGGTGAGAGAACAGGTAAGTGACTGAGTGAACAGGTGAGTGACAGAGTGAACAGGTGAGTGAACAGGTAAGTGACTGAGTGAACAGGTGAGTGACAGAGTGAACAGGTGAGTGACAGAGTGAACAGGTGAGTGAACAGGTAAGTGACTGAGTGAACAGGTGAGAGACAGAGTGAACAGGTGAGTGAACAGGTAAGTGACTGAGTGAACAGGTGAGTGACAGAGTGAACAGGTGACAGTCAGTGTGAACAGGTGAGTGACAGAGTGAACAGGTAAGTGACTGAGTGAACAGGTGAGAGACAGAGTGAACAGGTGAGAGACAGAGTGAACAGCTGAGTGACTGAGTGAACAGCTGAGTGACTGAGTGAACAGCTGAGTGACTGAGTGAACAGGTGAGAGACAGAGTGAACAGGTGAGAGACAGAGTGAACAGGTGAGAGACAGAGTGAACAGGTGAGTGAACAGGTGAGTGACAGAGTGAACAGGTGAGTGAACAGGTAAGTGACTGAGTGAACAGGTGAGTGAACAGGTGAGTGAACAGGTGAGTGACAGAGTGAACAGGTAAGTGACAGAGTGAACAGGTGAGAGACAGAGTGAACAGGTAAGTGACTGAGTGAACAGGTGAGTGGGAGAGTGAACAGGTGAGTGAACAGGTGAGTGACAGAGTGAACAGGTGAGTGACAGAGTGAACAGGTGAGTGAACAGGTGAGTGACAGAGTGAACAGGTGTGAGACGGAGTGAACAGGTGAGTGACAGAGTGAACAGGTGAGTGAACAGGTAAGTGACTGAGTGAACAGGTGAGTGACAGAGTGAAGAGGTGAGTGAACAGGTGAGTGAACAGGTGAGACAGAGTGAACAGGTGAGTGAACAGGTAAGTGACTGAGTGACAGAGTGAACAGGTGAGTGAACAGGTGAGTGACAGAGTGAACAGGTGAGTGGCTGAGTGAACAGGTGAGTGAACAGGTGAGACAGAGTGAACAGGTGAGTGAACAGGTGAGTGAACAGGTGAGACAGAGTGAACAGGTGAGTGAACAGGTAAGTGACTGAGTGAACAGGTGAGTGACAGAGTGAACAGGTGAGTGAACAGGTAAGTGACTGAGTGAACAGGTGAGTGACAGAGTGAACAGGTGAGTGACAGAGTGAACAGGTAAGTGACAGAGTGAACAGGTAAGTGACTGAGTGAACAGGTGAGTGACAGAGTGAACAGGTGAGTGACAGAGTGAACAGGTGAGAGACGGAGTGAACAGGTGAGTGACAGAGTGAACAGGTGAGTGAACAGGTAAGTGACTGAGTGAACAGGTGAGAGACAGAGTGAACAGGTGAGAGCCAGAGTGAACAGGTGAGTGAACAGGTGAGTGACAGAGTGAACAGATGAGTGAACAGGTAAGTGACTGAGTGAACAGGTGAGTGACAGAGTGAAGAGGTGAGTGAACAGGTGAGTGACAGAGGGAACAGGTGAGTAAACAGGTGAGTGAACAGGTGAGTGACAGAGTGAACAGGTGAGTGACAGAGTGAACAGGTGAGTGAACAGGTGAGTGAACAGGTGAGTGACAGAGTGACAGAGTGAACAGGTGAGTGAACAGGTGAGTGAACAGGTGAGTGAACAGGTGAGTGGCTGAGTGAACAGGTGAGTGAACAGGTGAGACAGAGTGAACAGGTGAGTGAACAGGTGAGTGACAGAGTGAACAGGTGAGACAGAGTGAACAGATCATCAAACACTCACCTTGAGCTTCTTGTTGAGTTTGCAGCAGTATCTGTACAACATGGCGAGGTTCAGAGGACCAAAGTCTGCGTAGAAACTGACACACACACACGCACACGCACACACACACAGTGAGACCGGCTCTGCTGACTGTTCACTTTTTGGGATCAGCCTATAACCTGGACTCACTTCTCGTAGAGGAACTCGTCGTCAGTGCAGAAGTAGTGCGTGTTGGCGGTGCTTTTGGGTTTGCTGCGTAACGTGGCGAAGTAGAGACGCTCTGTGAGACACAAACACACACACAAACACGCACACATCAGTGACACAAAGGACATGCCCGTCCTCTGAATGTAATGAGGAGATTCAGGGACAGAGAGACTCACAGAGGAGAGAGAGAGAATATTTACAGTTTGTTTTATTATAGTTTAAAAACGCGTCCCGTTTGACTCCTGGCGGACCATCGGCTACATGGTGCCGGGCTTCTGCAGGCGTATCGGGGCTGCTCTCATTGAATCCCCGCTCAGGTCGGGATACGGGGAGGGAGACGTGGGAGTGGATTTATTATCTAAACACCACCGGAGCAGTGTTTCACCGGGGTTCTGCCCCACTTTCTATTGTGAACAAACACGACTTTATAACATGTAGGGGGGGAAAAACACAAGTTTGAGAAATGAAGTCTTGCTGAGCGGTAGCTTTGTTAAGTTGGCTGCCCGGCTACCGGCACCGTTGCCCGGCTAGAGTACGGACGCTCCAGGCATCCTGGGGCTACAGCCACAGACCCACACTCGGCTCGATGTCAAACAAAAAAAACTTGCTTTAATCTCCGTGTTTATTGGTGCTATTATCTAAACAAAACGTCTCTCTTACTGTCCGGAGAATAAACAGTTAATCATTCATGAAATAAAATGAGTTTAAACTGTTTCCATGGTTCTTTTGTTATTGTAGTTTTTATTACAGATAATTGAATAATCTGGTTTTTCACATAAAAATGTTTTATTTTGAAATTATTTTTTTGTCTGAGAGTTGATGAACTTCCTGTTTAGAATAAATCAACCACTGAGAGGTTTAACAGATGACCTTTGACCTTTTAATATCAATAATATTTACTTTAAATATATTTCATATAAGAATATTTTATCAGCAGAACTCAAGAGAGAAATATAAAAACAGACGAAATAGAGTTCAGCTCCATTTCTCAAGAATCTGTTGAGAGAGAGAGAGAGAGAGAGAGAGAGAGACAGAGAGAGAGGGTGAGAGAGAGAGAGAGAGGGTGAAAGAGAGAGAGAGAGACAGAGAGGGTGAGAGAGAGAGAGACAGAGAGAGGGTGAGAGAGAGAGAGAGACAGAGAGAGACAGGTAGAGGGTGAGAGAGAGAGAGAGAGAGAGAGAGAGAGACAGAGAGAGGGTGAGAGAGAGAGAGAGAGACAGAGAGAGGGTGAGAGAGAGAGAGAGACAGAGAGAGAGACAGAGAGAGGGTGAGAGAGAGAGAGACAGAGAGAGAGACAGAGAGAGGTGAGAGAGAGAGAGAGAGAGGGTGAGAGAGAGAGAGACAGAGAGAGGGTGAGAGAGAGAGAGAGAGACAGAGACAGAGAGAGAGAGAGAGAGGGAGAGAGAGAGAGAGAGAAAGAGAGACAGAGAGAGACAGAGAGAGACAGAGAGAGAGAGACAGAGACAGAGACAGAGAGAGAGACAGAGACAGAGAGAGAGAGAGAGAGAGAAAGAGAGACAGAGAGAGACAGAGAGAGAGAGAGAGAGAGAGAGAGAGAGAGAGAGAGACAGAGACAGAGACAGAGAGAGAGACAGAGACAGAGAGAGGAGAGAGAGAGAGAGAGAAAGAGAGACAGAGAGAGAGAGAGAGAGAGAGAGAGAGAGAGAGAGAGAGAAAGGGGAATGACATGCGGGAAAGGAGCTGCAGGCCGGACTAGAACCTGGGCCGCCCGCGTTGAGGACCACAGCCTCCATACATGGGGCGCGCGCACTAACCACTGAGCCACCAGCGCCCCAAGAATCTGTGTTTAACAGTGTATTCATGTGTTTGTAGTGTGTATTAAAGTGTGTATTATTGTGTATTAGTATGTGTGTGTACCTTTAATGATTATTGTGTGTGTGTACCTTTAATGATTGATGTCTATTAAAGTGTGTATTATTGTGTATTAGTGTGTGTGTGTGTACCTTTAATGATTGATGTCTATTAAAGTGTGTATTAGTGTGTGTGTGTGTACCTTTAATGATTATTGTGTATGTGTGTGTACCATTAATGATTGATGTCTATTAAAGTGTGTATTAGTGTGTGTGTGTGTGTGTGTGTACCTTTAATGATTATTGTGTATTAAAGTGTGTATTATTGTGTATTAGTATGTGTGTGTACCTTTAATGATTATTGTGTATTAAAGTGTGTATTATTGTGTGTATGTGTGTGTACCATCAATGATTGATGTCTATTAAAGTGTGTATTTAGTGTGTGTGTACCTTTAATGATTGATGTCTATTAAAGTGTGTATTAGTGTGTGTGTGTGTGTACCATTAATGATTGATGTCTATTAAAGTGTGTATTTAGTGTGTGTGTGTGTGTACCTTTAATGATTGATGTCTATTAAAGTGTGTATTTAGTGTGTATTAGTGTGTGTGTGTGTGTGTACCTTTAATGATTGATGTCTATTAAAGTGTGTATTAGTGTGTGTGTGTGTGTGTGTGTGTGTGTGTGTGTGTGTGTGTGTGTGTGTGTGTGTGTGTGTGTGTGTGTGTGTGTGTGTGTGTGTGTGTGTGTGTGTGTACCTTTAATGACCTGCGCGGCTCCCAGCGGCTCGCTCTCCTCCGTCAGGCCGAACAGGGCGGACAGGATCGGGGAGTGTCGCACTCCCTCCCCCGTCATGGATCCGTCTAATTCCTGGCCTCTCTCACCTCTAACAAACTTTTAAAGTGCTAACAGCTCGGTTAGTCGTTAGCGGGCTAGCAGGTACAGTTAAAAAGTTTTTTTTTTTTTAACTTTCTCCTCAGTTTCCCATCAGTCTTTGCGGCGGGTCTTCACTCACTGAAGTTTTTTGTTATTTTTACCGGTTCCGTTGTTTGCTTCTCCGTTTCTTCTCCCGTAAATATTCCCGGGTTAGCATGTTAGCATGTTAGCACTGAAGCTGTTCACTGAGGCTTCGGCAGTCTGAAACTCTGATTGACCAAATCCCTCCTTAAGACACGTTGCCATGGCAGCGCGAGCCGCTCTCATGGCAACCGCAGCCAATCACAGGACGGGACAGGCCGCGCTGCCTTCACGGTCCGCTGGGAAACACGACGACAATGAGGCATTCGAGTGTCGAGGAAAACAAACGGAAAGAAACCAGGAAAACTTACTAAAAATATTAAACTAAAGTTCACGTTTAGGACCACGAGTTCAACTGTAAGCTCCTTATTTAATATATTTTAAAGATATTTAAACAATGTGTGTCTCTGTGTTTACAGAAGTCAACAACAGAGAGTCTACACAACCTGTTTGTTTTTCCCTGAGGCGGTAAGAAAAGAGAGCAAATAATGTACACCTGAGAACACCTGAGAACACCTTAAACACACCAGCTCAAACCTAAAGGGGGTCTGTTTCTTCTTCTGTTCATTTTTATATTTTAGACCTTTATTTAATATTCTGAATCTTGACCATGAACACAACGTGAGGTAATCAAACAGACTGTATTATTATTATTTACAGTCTGTTCATACTGAGCTTATGCTTATGTTTGTATTTCTCTCTTACTTACATTCTGCTGAGAGCACCTGAACGTCTCTCTGACACAAACACCTGCACGTCTCCTCAGCGCCTGATTGGTTCCTTTCTCACCCGTAATAAAAACATATAACCTCTGAGATCAGAGTGAAACATCTGAACTCAGCTTGTTAATAACGGTGTGATCGATGGTGATGCACCTGTTTCCTCAGGTGAGCTCAAACATCACATGACATCTGCAGTCAGACGTGTTGGAAACAGATTAAATACTCTCACCTGATTGGCTGCTTGAAGACGTAGTCAGACCTGCAGGTTAGTCCTTTAATGTGAAGCCTCAGAATCTCACCTGCGATCAAAGAGATCCACACCCGATTTGGACCTGGTCCTGGTCCTGGCCCGAGCCCTGGTCCTTGTCCTGGTCCTGGTTGCATCCTCCAGGCCGTGGCGTCCGTCATGCTGCAGGTGGACAGCAGACTGCGGGGAGGCGGGCTGAGGGGTGAGCTGAGGGGGTGTCAGGTGATCGGATCAGGTTGCTCCTGGTTCCAGAGGGGACAGGTGTGAGTTTCCAGCCCGATCAGGTTTCAACACATTCAGGTCTGAGCTGGACTTCCTGCTGTACTCACTGTACATCAGCTCACCTGCTGCAGGTTAATGAACCGGGTCAGGGGTCAACACGACACCTCAATGATGACATCATGGAAACAAGACCAGGACAGAAGGAAGTCCACAGACACACCTACAGGACCCAGACCAGGGCCGTCTCCAGGATTTATCTGGGCCCCCGGGAGCAGGTCTCACATTAGGCCCCTCCCCACAGACTCGTCATGACGACTTTAAATAACTGAACTTTGTGTTAAAAACTTGAATCGAACTACTCAAAGAATCTCTTTGAAGTTTTACTCAGTTCAGAATCTTTCATTAAACTTTGAGAAACTCAAACTCCAGATCCTCCATCGTGGACCGGGGAGTCGCCTGATCCGTCACACACTGTGGCGCCCTTCTGAACCCAGAGAACTCAACGTCTTTGATTCTGAAGCGAACTCCGATATGTAACACCTCCACAGGAAGAAAAGACATTTAATTAAATATTTAAATATCAAATGTAAGGGGTGCGCTGGTGGCACAATGGTTAGGGCGCGTCCCATGTATGGAGACTCTCGTCTCGAGCGGTAGGCCCGGGTTCACTTCCACCCGGGTCGGGTTAGCCCTCTTGTGAAGAATAACATCCTGGGCTGTATCCAAATTGCCAATTACAAACTCAATCTTTCAGTATGCAGTATGCAGTACGTACTATCCGTGCTGTATACTGTTTAGTACCTACTATCTGCTGTTTACTGTTTAGTACCTACTATCTGCTGTATACTGTTTAGTACTACTATCTGCTGTATACTGTTTAGTACCTACTATCTGCTGTTTACTGTTTAGTATCTACTATCTGCTGTATACTGTTTAGTACCTACTATCTGCTGTATACTGTTTAGTACCTACTATCTGCTGTTTACTGTTTAGTATCTACTATCTGCTGTATACTGTTTAGTACCTACTATCTGCTGTTTACTGTTTAGTATCTACTATCTACTGTATACTGTTTAGTACCTACTATCTGCTGTTTACTGTTTAGTACCTACTATCTGCTGTATGCTGTTTAGTACCTACTATCTACTGTATACTGTTTAGTACCTACTATCTGCTGTTTACTGTTTAGTACCTACTATCTGCTGTATACTGTTTAGTACCTACTATCTGCTGTATACTGTTTAGTATCTACTATCTGCTGTTACTGTTTAGTACCTACTATCTGCTGTTACTGTTTAGTACCTACTATCTGCTGTATACTGTTTAGTACCTACTATCTGCTGTATACTGTTTAGTACCTACTATCTGCTGTATACTGTTTAGTACCTACTATCTGCTGTATACTGTTTAGTACCTACTATCTGCTGTATACTGTTTAGTACCTACTATCTGCTGTATACTGTTTAGTACCTACTATCTGCTGTATACTGTTTAGTACCTACTATCTGCTGTATACTGTTTAGTACCTACTATCTGCTGTATACTGTTTAGTACCTACTATCTGCTGTATACTGTTTAGTACCTACTATCTGCTGTATGCTGTTTAGTACCTACTATCTACTGTATACTGTTTAGTACCTACTATCTGCTGTTACTGTTTAGTACCTACTATCTGCTGTACTGTTTAGTACCTACTATCTACTGTATACTGTTTAGTACCTACTATCTGCTGTTTACTGTTTAGTACCTACTATCTGCTGTTTACTGTTTAGTACCTACTATCTGCTGTATACTGTTTAGTACCTACTATCTGCTGTATACTGTTTAGTACCTACTATCTGCTGTTTACTGTTTAGTACCTACTATCTGCTGTTTACTGTTTAGTACCTACTATCTGCTGTATACTGTTTAGTACCTACTATCTGCTGTTTACTGTTTAGTACCTACTATCTGCTGTATACTGTTTAGTACCTACTATCTGCTTGTTTACTGATAACCTTCGTATCGACTACTAGTGCTGTATCTTAGTACCTACTATCTGCTGTTACTTTTAGTACCTACTATCTACTGTTTACTGTTTAGTACCTACTATCTGCTGTATACTTTTAGTACACCTACTATCTGCTGTTATACTGTTTTATACCTACTATCTGCTGTTTACTGTTTAGTACCTACTATCGCTGCTGTATACTGTTTCTACCTACTATCTGCTGTTTACTGTTTAGTACCTACTATCTGCTGTTACTGTTAGTACCTACTATCTGCTGTTTACTGTTTAGTACCTACTATCTGCTGTTTACTGTTTAGTACCTACTATCTGCTGTTACTGTTTAGTACCTACTATCTGCTGTTTACTGTTTAGTACCTACTATCTGCTGTTTACTGTTTAGTACCTACTATCTGCTGTATACTGTTTAGTACCTACTATCTGCTGTTTGACTGTTAGTACCTACTATCTGCTGTTTACTGTTTAGTACCTACTATCTGCTGTATACTGTTTAGTACTACTATCTGCTGTATACTGTTTAGTACCT